TTGTTGTTGTTGTTGTTGTTGTTGTTGTTTTCAGAATAATTTGTGAACTAGAAAGTGGTGGGCAAAGAAAGAAGCAGGAAAAGATCTCTAATGTTTATACTTTTATTTTCTGTGACAGGATGAAACCTTGAAAGGATCAGAGTTTGTTTCCAAATAAAGAATTCAAATTGGGTTGAAATAAGTCCTATATAAAATTAATACTTCTGAATATCAAGGTGTGATGAATATCAAGTCTCCAAAAGTTGTTTCCATGGCATCATCTGAGGGGAAAACAGACATTGGTTATGTGAGTAGTATGACATCAACTCAGAAACCAACCAGAATCAAGGCGTCTGTGGCCACCATTCCTGTTGGAACTGATGTGATCACAAAGGCAACCACAGTGCAAAGTAAGAATGTGGTGTTATGCAGCAAGTGGACCAACAGCCACATGAGCAACAGAATTTTGAATCTAAAAGTTTATTTTGAAAGTCTAAAGCTGTTCTTTATATTAAATTTAAACACACAAAAAATATTTTGAAGACAACACAGAAAACATATGTAGTAGTCTACAAATTTTTAATGAATCAGATGGGTCTGCATGCAATACATTTAAAGGAAATCTGCTTAAAAATCAGATTAAAAAAACATCTTTTTATGCAAATAAATACTATAAAATTATAGCCCAAGATAAGATATCATGGGTGCCCCCATCTCAGTATCACAACTCTTATATTTATATATTTCACTTAAAATGTCCCTATAGGCAGCTGCACAGACACACAAACTACAGCCACTTGTAAGTACACCAGATCCAGCCCAGCAGAGGCCTCCACCTGCAAGATACAGCAACAAGAAAAGCCCACTCCAAGAGAGGAAAGATCCAAAGACCTTGAAAGGTCAGAGGTCAAGGATGAAGGTCATGGTGAGGATGCTGAAAGGAGGGATGATGGAGATGAGAAGCCTCAGAGGTCTTGTAAGGGAAAGAGGTACAAGGAAATTGTGGCAGAAAGTGGACTTAATGCCTTGAAGAAGGAAAGAAAGGTGAGTTGTAAAGTTTGTTCATTGTAACCTTTAGTGCAATGATACAATTAAAACTAATTTGTTCAGGCCATCATCATATTTCAAGATATCTCCTTTATATGCTCACTCCAATCCCATTATTAGATTTCTAGAGAATATAAATATAATTATTCAATTTTACCTCAAATATTTAAACTCTTACCCTGAAAAATATACAATTAGTAGTCTCCCACTAGAACTTTTGCTACTTTTTAAAACATCTTTAGTTTCAATTGAAAGTCTAGAACTGTTTTTTTTCCAAGGTGTACTTTTCTGGCTGTTTTCCTGGTGCCTCTACTTATCCTAGATCTGCAATTACATGTTTTATTTAAAAAAAAAACTGACTTTGATTCTAGATTTATAAGCCAGGAAGCTCTGGGGAAGAAGAGAAATCTCCTTTGACTACAGGTGGAACTTCAGCAACAGATGGAAGTACAAGACAAGCCAATGAACAAACTTCTGGGGAGACTGAGGAAGGTACCAGACAAGATAGCTCTAGTGGTGAAGAAAAAAAGGTAAGGATATTGAAGACCACTTCTGACTGGATATCTGATTGGACTCCCTCCCCTTTGCTCCTTTTTTCATGGTGTTTATACTTGGTACTTATTAGCCTGTAAAATTGATCAGTTTTAGTCATCATACAAGATAGACGACCTCCCTCACTTTATTCATAGAGAGGCTCAGTATTGCTCTAAAAATTTAAAAGATGACTGTGGGTCAGAAAGATGTACTTATAACAACTGAAACATTTCTAAACTTTCAGCCTCTGGAAAACAAAACCAAGCACAAGCCTATCCCTCCTCCCATCCCGCTGCCGCCACATGTGTCATCTGCAGTAGCCTCCCCCAGTAGTACCAGCAGTCCACGCAGGAGGTTCTTTAAGCGTGAGGTGGATGATGGCATGGATAGGTCTGTATTGAAACTGCCGTGCTGTGTGTGTGTGTGTGTATGCATGTATGCGTGCGCGTGTGTGTGTGGCCAAATGCAGTTACTGACTTTGGCTTGAATTGTCCTTATCCAGGGTTAGAGCTGGATCAAAAACAAAGCATATTTCACATATTTTCACATTTTTAAAAAGGAAATTGTTTATTATATTTCTTGCTTATAGTCTTCGTTGCATCTTGTTTTTGCTTAACCAAATTATTTTCAAATTTTATAAATGAAAGAGAGAGAGACGGGTCACATGTATTCTGGGCAAAAAATGTATATACCCTTTTTGGATGACAGACTCATTAAAGAGCAATTAATTTGTATTATATAAATTGCTATATTTGTTTTGCAGGGTCCTTGAGCAAGTAGACTTTGAGCGCAGATTTGAACAACTCCCTCAATTCATTCCTGACAATTCTGAGACTGGGACGCCATTGCCCCAGAGTCCCCGTGTGATTCTCAACACATACAGGAAAAAACGCAGCTTTTCCACAGGTATTGTAAAGACTAAAGACCACATGGTTTCTTTCAACAGTTACCAAAATATGAATTCCTGTTATTTTTTGTCTCTTACTGTAGAATCTGTTTAAGATGTGATTGACTGGGACCAGTGTCCAAAACTACCGTTCAGCTTTAAAATGTTGCTTTGTGTGATTTGAAACAAAAGACTGGCGTCTGGTAGAGTTGATTTCCAAGATTAATGTTAAATTGAATTTGTTTTTATATCATGATTTCCAATGGAATTTTTTAAAAATCATATCTGATATTCTAACTATAAGATTGATATAGAGCACACCCTAAATTATTTCGGATGATATAGATAAAAAAAATTTAGATTTATATAATTTCTCAACTTAGATATTGCATGATATCATACTGGATTATTTTCTAGCTGACCATGATGGCTCAGATGCAGACTCCACACCAAACACTGCCACCACCTCCAACACTGCCTCCAACACGCCAATGACACCCAAGAGTGGAAGGTTTGAGGACACCAAGTTCTTTGGGAGTAACTTTAACCTGGAGGCTCTGGCAGAGGCAGCTTTTACACAGAGACAAGGTACCCGAGTTCACCACTAAATCTGAACACGATTAATAAAATTTTTGTTTCCAGGTACCTTATTTTCAATGGCGGATTTAGAGGAGGGGGAGGTAAGGGGGGCCTGACCCCCCCTTCAATTTCTGATCCCCTCTTGAAATTGGAATTTTTACTAGCTGAAGCATAGTTCTTACCTATATCAAATGGTACCATTCACCCTCTAAAATACCAAAAATTTTCGGGGCCCTTGCTAGTGGCACTAAAAAGCAAATATGTGGTCTCTTTAGTTTAATCTTTACTTGTATTTCATCATTATTATTATTGATATTTTCATTTATTATTTTTATTATCATTTTCCATAGGTGGAGAGTTCAACGAGGGCGAATTACCATCCCCCATGACACCTAAGACCCCCAGTTCTCCAGGGGCGTTCTCATCCCTGAGGAGAATTTTAGACCAAAGAAGACAACTTGTGATGCAGTTATTTGAAGAGTATGGCTGGTTCCCTTCAGGTAGAAGTTTTTTAACAGACCAATTGAACTGTTAACAGCTCCATAGATCTCAAAAAAGTCAAAAGTTAATAATCGTAATATTTCAATATGCATTATCCAGTGTTATCAAGTAAAGAATCTGAGTTTTAGACTGAAATTTGTCGATTATGTCCAAGTTATGTGATCAAAAGTGTTTGACATTGTCCAGTACTAAAATGTTGATTTCCACCTGACAGTGTTGCTTTATTTTATTTTATTTATATTCATTTAAGAATAGTTGAAATTTATCCACAATGATGTGTAATACAATACTGTAATTTCTCCATCAATCCCTGATTCCAGCACAAGCCACAGCAGCATTCCAGGCCAAGTACCAAGACATCTTTCCTTCTAAGGTATACCATTATAACATTAATGACAATCTCCGAATAAAATTGTAACAAATGTGGAGAATTTACAGAAGTGATATAAGTAGAATTAGATGTGCAGAGCAATCTGATGTGAGAATTTATCATTTAGAGCTCAGTTTATTATTCTTTTTTTTTTTAATTTTTATTTATATTTTTATATACAAATGTTGAATAAATAACAAATTTTACTGATGTTTGAAAAGGTATGCCTCCAGCTTAAGATCAGAGAGGTGCGCCAGAAAATGATGGCCAACGTCCTCCCTGATGGCCTACCCACCACCCCCAGCGAGGTGCCCACCACCACTAACAGCACAGACAGCGCTTCTCCATCAGCAGTAACAGTACCAACAACAACAGCCGCAGCTACAGCGTCCACATCATCTTCAACAGTGACCACACTGTCGTGTGCCTCAGGAAGTAAAATGGCTGGAGCGAGTGGTCAGTCTGGGCAGGACCTGGACCAGGGGCAGACGAGTGACCAGCCAGGGTCTGGTTTACCAGGACAGGGCAGTGACCAAGGGTCAGTGGCAGCTGATAAAGATGCGGGTAACGAGAAAGTCTAGACAGTGTCCGTCCCATTCCCATGTCACTTGCATAGTCACACTAAGAACTGATGTTTGTTATTAGGGAAGAATTTACTTATTGGGTTTAATAGAACATATCTGGATTTTTTTTCAATATGACATTGTTGTGTTATGATTAAAAGCAGTCAGGTTGATGGTTTAAATCCATATCAGCATCACTTCTAAAATCAATAGTTTATGCTTTTACTCTCAGCTACATGATACAGTCATTAAACTGGTATTAATGACTGTCATGAGAGTTAGGTTGTGAAAAAAAAACTCCTTACGAAAGTGATCAAATCGGTGGGTTTGGGTGCAACTATGACCTTTGACCTTGGAATTAGCTCACCAGTTACCCAGTGACTGTTTTAAGATGGGATAGGACTCCAAGTCATCAAGTTATTGTATATATGAAATTGTTATGGTTTGTTAAGGTTACAGAAGAGGTCATGTAGAAGTATGGTTGTATATAGATCTGTATATATATGATATACTCTTATAGGAAAACAAACTATATCATAGCTGTATGTAAGTATGCCATATTAGGTAAAGGCATGGAATAAGTGTAGTGTGTGAAAGACAAATGAAGGCAATTTTGATGTGCTCCCTCTTGCTGTCATACAGGATCTCGTAAAAATTGGTATCGTGGGTACCTACAGAAGTTTTCATATACTTTGTATACTTTCCCGAGCAGCATAGAGAAATTATCAGCACTCAGAGCTACAGCATAAAAATGTTACACTCACTTTGTTGGTCAGGATAATCAGGATAGTCAGGATAATCAGGAAGATCGATTTTATGCATGCTATATCGTGTCTTTACCCACCATGTAGTTACATTGTGACATTCGATTTGTGGTCACATGGCTGAACATGAGGTCACATGATTGGTCATGTGACCTGGCATGAAATACCTGATTGATCAAGTGACTAAGAGCGATTGCATCCATGTATCATTCAGACTGGTTTTGGTGATGTTGTACATATTGGTAATCGTTGGTAGTTGCATTAGCAATGTACAGAGATTTTATTGCATTCACATCTGCCTGATTAGGTTCATAATTTAGACTATAGATGGCACTGCATATTTAAATTCACACCTGTACTGTAGTGTACTCCAGGCTATTTGCACTTATTCATATCTATTGGGTCAAGCATTTTGTAGCTTTTTCTGAAAACATGTTGCTCATTCTTGCATTCAAAATAACAAGGCTCTAATTCCATGGTATCTTTGCTATTGAAATCCTTATAGTTTCAAGGCAAGAAAAATGTTTCAAAGGATTGTAGGTCTGTTGATCAGCTGGTAGTAATTTAATGGTATCTCTATAATTTAAAAGGGAATTTTTGTTGACTAAAATCTTCCTATTTTTTAAACAGTCTACTTGCATGCCTGAAGGATATGTTACACCCTTTATAAGTGGTCAAAGTACATCCCAAGCCCAAAATTTAAATTTTGAGGTGACCATTTGGAAATGAGGAGAAGGCCATTTTTCAGCTTACTCCAGTAAAGCCACAGAAAGAGAGTGTGGTGTTAAAAATGTTTATGTTCAGGCTTTTTTTTCCTTCGTCTTCTTTCATTTATGAATTTGAATACACGTAAGTCGGACAGCACAAAAAAATTAAGATGATGCCAAGAAACGTTTGTTTCATTTTTTTTACTCATGCCAAAACCATGTGTGTGATCTCATTGTGGTTGATCCACCTCCTATTTTCCAACAGGTTCTTTCTGCATGCTTTTTACTGAATCATCCCAGCTTTGTACAGAAGTGTTAAAGGATGAGTCAATAAATTACTATGATATGTTATAGGATATAATTAAAAGCATTCCCTATGAGTCTGGAGACAATGAATCAATATCATTTATCTCTAGTACTATATAACCATATGTAATTTGATTTGATATTATCCAATTTAGAATGGTATGATTGAATAACAGATGTTATTGGCTAATTTGGGGAGGGGGGGGGGGCAAAGATAATTATTGTCAATTTAGTCAAAACCATGCTGGTTTTTAAAGGACTGTTCAGACAGGGAAACTTGTGGGCCAAACTTACATCATCAGACAGCCTATTAATGGAATAACCATTGTCTACATTTTAATGATGATAAACAAGCCCAGTTAAACCTGTGCCCAGTCTAAAATATACCTTGACTAAACACAGTAGGACAACCTGAAGAGAAAGGGGTTATAGTAATAGTTTCATAGAATCAATTCCCATACTTAGATTGATCTAGCTGGATCGACCCATCTCCACGGGGTCTCTCACTATATTACATTCAGGGTAAGTGGCTCTGATGTCTGGCATGCCTTCTGAAGCTGTTAAGGGGTAAGAAACTATTGTTTAGCAGCTGCAGTAGGCATGTCAGACATCTAAGCAGCGTAATCTGAATGCAATTGAGTGAGAATCTCCTCTGAGATAGGTCGATCCTGCTAGATCATTCTAGGTATGGAAATTGGGTCATAGTCTTGCCATGACAATTTTTTTTTTTTTTTTTTTTGCATATAACTTTGTTGTTAGTTGCCCATTGTTACCCTTGTTTCACACGCAGTTGTTATATTTCATTGTTTTGAAAATAGTTATTTTGATGATTATGCATGCTTTCATGTAATTTTTCCATGTTTTGTTTGTGAATAATTTTGTTACAGCCTTTTTTTGCCAAAAAAAAAAAATGAAGATTAATTAACAAGACAAAGGGATCTGAACTACAAGTAGGTGATTCTGAAATATTGGGCAGGTGTGGGATTAAATAAATGTTTTAAGGCTGTGTACCAGTGAAGGTTTTAGCCTTGGTCTAGATGTAAAGCTTGTCTTGCTCTTAGACTCAGCAGGGCAGGGCATATCTTTGTAATATGTGTGGCTATAGCCATGTTATCAGTATAGTTGTAGCCTTATATTTAATGTGGCTATAGAAAGTCACGATATATTTATAAGGCTATAGCCATGTCATGAATATGGCTATAGTCCTGTTCTTTGTAATGATAGGCCTTGTACAGAGTAAGGTAGGGCTATACCCTTGTCTTAGATTGACTATAGCCATTTATGGTCCATACATGGCCTATGAACTGGATAAAATGCTTAAGAAATACTGGTGGGCCCTAAGGTCCGCAAAGATAAGAAAGTGATGGAATAATATCTACCCAATAACAAGTGGCAAGCATCCATTAGTAAATATCAGTTTTTTGTTATGAAATAGAAATCAGCATACGATGTGATACGTGTAATGCTTATAGTCTCCTTTGTGATATTTTATTCTTATCCTGAATAAAAAAGACTTCTATTTATACAATAATTTGTCTTTTTTTCTGTAAAAAATTACTCAAACAGTGTCCCAATTCTCTCGCTGCAAGTTTAATCGTTATTGTCAGGCTTTTCATGAATGTACGCCTGTCGCTGTGCAACTACAAATTTTCGCTTCTATTTCCTCTGCCTCTGAGGATACACAATCTTTTACAAACTTAATAATAAGTTTATAAAAAAAACAGTTATTCTCTGACTGCCTTTCTCTCAACTTTCGACTACTGTTTATTTTTAACTGACTCTAAACACCGGCATTTTAAAATGACTTCTAAAAAAACTTACTATTAGAACTTTTGTTCTCTTAAATTTTGTTGCATAAACACTGAACTAATTTTCATAAACGGTCATATTATTTGCTTGTTATTCATGTTTTTATATCATACAGCAAATGCTTGCTTCTGCGTCATATTAAATAACACCGTATGTCAATCAAACTAAAACTTTCAACATTCACATCTGCTCAAAAAAAAAGCATCCCATTTTTCAAAACATCAATCTTCACAAGTCAAGATAAATCTTGTCAATATTATCAAGAATCAAAACACAGACAGCAAGTGCAACAGAAACAATATGCTGGAGTGAATCAGCGCAACTGAAATGAATTTACTTTCAACTTATTTTATCATACGAATATTTTCATTGCACAAATGGACAACTGAACCCTTAGTGCAATACTGTCACAGGGGGGTCAGCTATTTTCATGACAAGAAAAATGAAATTTGCTTTAATCGCAAACGGGTGTCCTTCTCTCACGCACACAGACTAAAGGCCTAGGTCCCAACCGAACGCACGGGCTGCTACGTGTGGTCTACCGCCCAAAAAAAAATGGGGAAACGTGGGTGTTCGTGCGTGAAGAGCACGTTCATCGTGCGATGTTTGGAGGACACAAACGGCACGGAGAAACTTTTCGACATGACCAACAGCTGCTTGATTCCTTCCCTGCGAACTAGCCACGTCCAGGCCGGAGGCAAGGAACCTAAAAAACCGTGCGTCCAAAACGTAGTTGGGACCCAGTCTTAAAGTAAAACGCGGAGCTTTCACCAAGCTGCCCAGAGATCCCTAATGACCATCTGTCGTCTTTCTCCATGTCTCTCGGTCGTCTTTAGCTAGAGGTTCTCTTCTCGTGACAAATTTCAGGATAACAGGTGACTCACTGTCACACTTCATAACGGCATTGTAAAACTAGCTTTTGTGATTTAGCCATTTTTGATGACCTTTTAAAAAGAGACCAAACTCTGGATCTTGGCAAACTGCCTAGTTTTTCTATTACTGAATAGCCCACTTCATGAGATTTAACAATTCAGTAGAACGAAACACCATAGATCAATTTAATAAAATGAAGGGCAGTGGTCAATTTCTTGGAATCACTTGAGCATTTTGTAAATAAAGGATCCTTAACTGAGATATAGCTCCATTTTCAACTCAACTCCTACAATATCGCCATGTATATTAGAACTGTTGCTAGGAAAATACGGTCATTATTAAGGGAACATTATTAAGGCACTTGAAAGTCAGAAGATTGCAGCGTGTGGTCACCGACTGTAAATTTAATTAACGGTCCTCAATACTCAGCTGAATACTCTTGTGTAAATAAACCTTATTACTTTAACGCTTCCTAGATATCACTGCAGCTCAAGCGTGTTCTCCTGCACGTGGCATAACCTGCTGTTACCGCTGCACTACCCTCTACCAGTACCACGGATTGATTTTTCACTACTTATTTAGTAGGCTTGTTAAGGACCAAAAAATGGCCAAACGATGCATTTTGTAGTACAAATGTCTAACTTGGCATAAATGTTCCTTGGGCCAAAAGAAATTTTTTTATCCAAAGAGACACCCTCTATCGATTCATTAATTAGCATAAATTATGCAAATTAGGTGCCAGAATAT